CTTGCTTGACCAACAACACTAGGATCACTATAAGGAGCTTGCTTAGCTTTCCTTCCTTTAGCCACAATATTAGGACAATCTCTCACCTTGTGATCATTTTTCCCACAACCATAGCAACCATTAGTGCCGGATAGAAACTTCCCAAAATGCTTCTTTCCACAAGTGGAACAAGTAGGCTTAGCAATTTCAGAACCCCCACCTCCTTCAAGTTTAACCTTTGGAGCACTTGATAAATCTTGATTTGGACCCCTTTTCAAATGTTTCCTAACCCTTGTCATCTTGGACTCCTCAATAGATTGCTCATACACAACAAGCCTAGACATGTTCATGTCACCATGGAGTATTGCCGTACGGCTCTCTTGTTTCACCAAGTCGGATACACCGGTAACAAACCTACTCATCTCCTCTCTAGAGTTAGATACCAAAGATGGAGCATACCTAGACAACATAGAGAACTACAAAGGATATTACTCCACACTCATATTACCTTGCCTAAGATTAATGAACTCCTCAATTTTGCACTCCCTCTTCTCTAGGGTAAAGTACTTACCCAAGAATGCTTCCTTAAACTCCTCACATTCTATAGTTACCGCTTCCTCCGGCCTATTTGCCTTCCATTGAGTGTACCAAATTTGGGACACCTCCTTCAATTGGTACAAGTCTAGCATATGAGCTACAACATCATCTTATAGAGACTCATCATAGTCCATCATCACCACATATCACCATTTCAAGAGAAATATGCTTTAACATTAGCATAATACCACTTTATACAATATCACATTCACACCATTAGAACATCTTCACATTATAGCTTCACACAAACTTTACATATAGCTTTACATAGGACTTTACATATAGCCTCATATGTGTATAATAATACAACAATGTAATAACACTCATATAATGCCCTTCGTGGCCTCAATTCACAACACTGCAATTTTCCCACATTATACACCAACTTGACCAATGCCTTCATGGCTGCAATTCACAATAATACCACACAAGAATTAGATATAACACTTCTGGATCCAACCTACCCATAACAATCAGTTCAATAAAGAGAGTTCAAGCCTTCTTACCATAATCCAAAGCCATAGCCAAAATCACCAATACTTCACCCATAAGGTTTACCACCTTTAATTCATCCATTATCAACAATTAATCATAAATAAACATTAAACAACACAAGAGATATCAATACCATTCACTTCACACATAATTCCATCAAGTTTGAATTTATAGAAATAGACTCACTTCATAGCAAATTTTAGGGTTTTGTATCAGACATGGGTTCATGGAGTATTTCATTCAAAACCCCAAGCACATCAATTAATCCATACCCAAACCTTTCAAATCATTTTCATGCAAGAACCCTTGATAGAATTCAAAAAGAAGCTTTTAGTCACTTTTTGAAAACATTGTAAAATCCTTTGAAATTGACTCTAGGATGAAGATGAGTCCTAGATAAAGAGCCACCATACCTCAATTGATAAAATCTCAACGAAATTTGGTGGAAGGGAACCCTCAATTGAAACCCTAGATCTCCACCTTCTTCTTCCTTGAACTTGAGAGAACTTTAGAGAGAGAAAGAACTTTGGGGTTTTGATTTTGGAAGAATGATTTCAAAAACACCTCTTAAATGTTTTAATACCTTTAAAATACTTAAAAACACTTAAAATAATAATAACCCAAAGTACCCAAACTACCCCTCACTTATTTGGACCTTTTTAAACAAGACCAACTTGAGTTTTATTTTTGCATATTTTGTCGAAAAACAAGTTCGCGACGCGAAGGTGTTCCCAAAAGTTTTCTGGAAATTAAATTCGAGACAGTAGAGACCGCGGTGTCTACGCGACGCGGTGCCACTTTTTGGCCATTGGTAGAGCAGGTCCGCGACGCGGAGCCACTCCCTCCAATAACAACTTCAAGCTGCCTTGGAAACTTGCTTGGCCAAGGGTTGGGGTCCACCTCGGGGACCCTTAGGGTGGTCCCGGAGAGTCGTACCCGAACGTTTTGACCCTAAAAACATTTATTAAGATACTAGGGTCTCCTCCACTGATTTTAGACTCCAAACAACCCATAAAATTATGAACAACATACTAGAACACACCAACACGTAAAAGACTAGTTTTCGAACGTCTTGGTCGTCCCTTAACGTTTGACTTCCAAACTCTTTAAAATTGACTAAAAAGGCTATTCTTCATTATTTTAACAAGTTATTAAATGCATAGGACCAATGTGAGGCTCTACTTTATCCTACTTCATTTTGAGGGGTGTTACAATATCCCCCACTTGGGAACATTCGTCCTCGAATGACACTTTAAAACATTAAGGGTAATGACCCAAGACTAGCAGCCCACAACAATCATACAATATCAATATGAAAACACTCATCAAGGAGGAAACATCAACTCCACATAACAAGCCATTACAACACAACTTCATTCAAATTTATGGAAGTAGGAATCACACCTACAACTCAACATGCCTCAACCCCTTCTTTTTTTTCCATTTCTCATTTATTTGGAGGAACTTCTTTCTCCATAGCACCTCATGCTCATAACAGCATCAAAGAACACAATATGCAATTATCTTATTAAAACACAATCACGCTACATCATAATACATTTAAGCATGCTGAACTAATCAACTCTAACAACTTTTAGTAACTTCCCAATTTATGCATCTAAGGAGAACAACGATCATGAAACTGATTTTCTCATTTAAATCAAGAACTCAATTTAAAGCACGCATCATTATAAGGAGAAATATAGAAACTCATTTTTTTCACACAAGACTCCAAAAACCATACATCATGCTTCTACAATTCTATGACTCAAACTCGATTAGGAATAGAAGAAGGAGACAAGAATATCCAAACTCACCTCAACTCATCATTCAACATACCATCCCCCACATAGGAGAAACCCATCTAAACCAACACAAAAGGATTCCAACACAAAACTAGAAATTATGACTTACCGGCACCTTCATCCAAATTTACTTCCTTGTTAGCTTGGAGATCATAGAAACGATTCCTAGCTTGACCATCAACACTAGGACCACTATAAGGAGCTTGTCTAGCATTCCTTCCTTTAGCCACAATATTAGGACAATCTCTCACCTTGTGATCAATTTTCCCACAACCATAGCAATCACTAGTGCCGGATAGACACTTCCCAAAATGCTTCTTTCCACAAGTGGAACAAGTAGGCTTAACAATTTGAGAACCACCACCTCCTACATGATTAACCTTAGGAGCACTTGATGGAGCACTTGATAAATCTTGAATTGGAGCCCTATTCTTAAACCTAGGTTGTCCTTGATGCTCATACCTATCCTTTTTCAAATCTTTCCTAACCCTAGTCATCTTGGACTCATCAATAGATTGCTCATACACAACAAGCCTAGAGATGTTCATGTCACCATGGAGCATTGCCGTACGGCTCTCTTCTTTCACCAAGTCGGATACACGGTAACAAACCTACTCATCTCCTCTCTAGAGTTAGACACCAAAGATGGAGCATACCTAGACAACATAGAGAATTTCAAAGCATACTCCTCCACACTCATACTACCTTGCCTAAGATTAATGAATTCCTCAATTTTGCACTCTCTCTTCTCTAGGGGAAATTACTTACCCAAGAATGCTTCCTTAAACTCCTCTCATTCATTAGTTACCGCTTCCTCCGTCCTATTTGCCTTCCATTGAGTGTACCAAAATTGGGCCACCTCCTTCAATTGGTACAAGTCTAGCATATGAGTTACAACATCATCTTATAGAGACTTATCATAGTCCATCATCACCACATATCACCATTTCAAGAGAAGCATGCTTTCACATTAGCATAATACCACTTTATAAAATATCACATTAATACCATTAGAACATCTTCAGATTAGCATAATTCCATTAGAACATCTTCACATTATAACTTCACACAAACTTTACATATAGCTTCATATAGGACTTCACATATAGCCTCATATGTGTATAATAATACAACAATGTAATAACACTCATATAGTCCCCTTCGTGGCCTCAATTCACAGCAATGCAATATTCCCACATTATACAACAACTTCACCAATGCCTTCACGGCTACAATTCACAATAATACCACATAAGAATAAGATATAACACTTCTGGATCCAACCTACCAACAACAATCAATTCAATAAAGAGAGTTCAAGCCTTCTTACCATAATCCAAAGCCATAGTTAAAATCACCAATACTTAACCCATAAGGCTTACCACCCTTAATTCATCCATTATCAACAATTAATCATAAATTAACATTAAACAACACAAGAGATATCAATACCATTCACTTTACACATAATTCCATCAACTTTAAATTTATAGAAATAGACGCACTTCATACCAAATTTTAGGGTTTTGTAGAGGACAAGGGTTGATGGAGTATTTCATTCAAAAACCACAAACACATCAATTAATCCATACCCAAATGTTTCAAATCATTTTCATGCAACAACCCTTGATAGAATTCAAAAAGAAGCTTTTAGTTATCACTTTGCATGTAATACACTAGGAAAGGATTGCGGTTACTAGAATTACTGTGTTATGAGCTTGTGGTGAACACGTATACCCTAGTTAATTTTCTCATCTTGATAACGACCGAAATTGACTTTTGTTTATTGATTACGTACTGAATTCTTACAATTTGTTTTACAAATCCCCCCCTTTTTATTTCTAGTTTCTTGAAGTAGTTTGGCTAATTGAATATAATTGTCGGTTAAAGTAAAG